TGTTTATGCAATGATGTGTCACTTGATCTCTTTCGCTTGTTAAGACGTTGATTTGTAAATTTCTCAAGATAAAATTCACAAACTTCTTGCACAATATCTTTTTAACCTTTAACGCTTATTATAAATCACAGTAGCATTAGTCAATGAAGCCTGAATAAGTCGTAAGAACAGACACCATGTCAATTTTTTACTCCTAATTGAAGGCATCAAAGCATTGCAATGTTGATCATGCAAATCAACCCCACCCATGTTTTGGTTACAGGAAGAAAACGCTTGAGGGAAAAGAATGGACCTCTTAGCTTTTTCATGCCATCGCTGCACTTCAATTTTCGGTTCATCCCCACATTTTGTTGATAACACTGATACAGGTTTGGAATCCATCACAGTTATATAATTCAGTTTGGAATTTTGATCGTGAAGAGCGATAGTTATTCCCCTCTCAGCTTTTTTTGGCATTTCAACTTTTTCTTTGACGCGGTTTTGTCTGACCGTCCCAGTTGCTGATAATCCAATTTTTTTTTTAATGTACCATAAGATCTGGATTGGTGAAAAAATTATCAAAATACACATGATACTTAGTAAGATCTTCTTTATTAGTTACTTGTAGTAAAGGCGATAGCAACTTGATAACGACTTTCGATCCCAAAGAAACAGCAACTAGAGGGTTCCGTTCATTGAGTCCTGCTTTACCTGTATAAAAATCCAGTTCATATAAATATCCATCTGAGGAACAAAGGGCCCATAATTTTATTCCAAATCTGATTGGCTTATTTCTAATAGACTGTTTTATGCCAAACTTCCCGAAATATTTTACCATTATCTCATCTATTGATAAGTTGTAATAAAAAATCCGAACTGCATACTATTTTCACGAAAATAACCATATAAACTTCTAATTTTCCAAACTTTATCATTTTTATTTTCATCTTGAAGTTTATAAAATCTTATTTTCTTCTTGATTTTAATAAATTTATTTCTTGTCATAAGTTCAGAAATAACTGGACATTGTAAGATTTTTTTAGTTGACCAATAGTCACGGAGATTCTTTCTTGAATTGAAAATAGTAATCATTATGATAACAATAAATTTTTCTAGATCATTCATACTTAATTCAAAATTGTTTTCAGTTGTAGCTTCTATGATATAATTTTTCATTGAATTTGAGAAATATACTTCAAATAATTCCAAAGAGTTTTTAGAATACAAAGAGGAAATGGATTGAACTTCGAAGGGATCATCGTTATTCACAGTTGAGGTATCATTCAAATCTAATACTTGCCATTCGTAAACATGATTGGGTTCTAATAGTTTTTGAGTGCTGCTGTATGCGCTTTTTATATGTTCATACGAACCAACAGGAATCAATTCAAATGATATATTTTCGTCAACATTGCAATCAGAATCCCTATCTGAGCTTTCGTGATCTCCGGGAATGAACGATATATCGACATGAGCTCCGGAATCATCAATATCATCATCCTCGACAAAATCGGTTAAATCTTTAACCATCCACCTTGTCATTTTTACTTGGTTCAAAAATAGACAGCAATTTACAAGAAATTATAGATTTTCGCTGTAAGTCAGATAGAAATCAAATTTTCGTATCAAGAAACAAAACCTCTAAATTTTCTGTAAAACCGTTAGCACGCCAGTCAAACGTGATCTCTAACACGGTTTACAAATTTTTACAATCAAAAAAATTTTTTTTCAACTGAACTGAACTCAACCATCAGATTGAATCACTTGTGACTGTCGGTATCAATTCAATGCTTGATAGCTGTTTTTCATGAGAAATTGAAGTCCGATAAAAAATGTTACATACTTTTTTTCATGTATTTTCCGGTAGAATCGATTCCCGTAATCAGATTCGTAAAACAATAACTTTTTTGGTAATTTGTTTAAGTAACTTTTTATATACAATTGCAAATGGCAAAAGAAAAAACACGGGTATTTTTCTTTTCGATTTGCCTATGAATCGCATAGTTAGTTTGACGCTATCTCTTCCAGTTTTGGCCTGGGCCTTAATAGGTTAATCCATCAAACTATAATTCTCTTCATTATTTTCTAATGATGGTGGCTACAACACGCGTCACATACGCAGTCCCGTTATAAGGGCTTGGAATGAGTTATTAAATACACTTTGACAAATTTTTTCATCATTTTTATTACACGTCCGACATAATTTCAAAGATAAGAAAAATTTTTTTCAATTTACGAGGTCTGTCCGGAAAGTATCGGGCCTACGTTTATACCTTCGCGCCATAGTGTTGTAGCGACCTCTACCGGACAGAAATGTCAACAGTAAGGCCTGACGAATCTATTGGTTACTTACTGACACCTACCGGACGTATAGTTCATGCGTAGCTTGTCTTGGTTTACAGTGCCTTTTTCGCGTTCGTCGGATTTTGATATTGTCAAAAATGATTGAAAAACATGATCAACGAATTTGCATCAAATTTTGCTTTCAACTCGAAAAAACGAGTTCGGAAACTATTAAAATGATGCAAAAGATGAATAAAAGAGTGGTATAAACAGTTCAAGGATGGTCGCACTTCTGTCGATAGTGATTCTCGTTCCGGCCGACCTTCGACGACAAAAACTGCAGATAATATTGAGCGGGTGCAACTTGCAATCGAACAAGATCATCGTATGACTGTGCGAGAACTAGAAGACCTTGGGATACCAAAAACTATCATTTCAGAAATTTTAACCGAATAGTTAGGAATGAAACGCGTATGTGCGAAATTCATCCCAAAATTGCTCACAGCAGAGCAAAAGAACATTCGCTTAGAAATCGCTCTGGACAATCTGGAAATGGTCAATAATGATGATAATGTGCTTAGAAAAGTTATTACAGGTGATGAATCATGGGTTTATGGTTATAATCCTGAAACAAAACAACAATCTTCACGGTGGAAGCATTCTGAATCGCCAAGACCAAAAAAAGCACGCCAAAGTCGGAGCAATGTTAAGTCAATGTTGATTGTTTTTTTCGATTGTGAAGGTGTTGTACAACACGAATATGCACCAACAGGTCAGACAATCAATAAAGAATACTACATTCAAATTTTAAAACGTTTGCGTGATGCAGTAAGAAGAAAAAGGCCGCACTTTTGGGAAAGTGGTGACTGGCTTCTGCATCACGATAATGCGCCAGCGCATTCATCCAATCTTGTGCAGTAGTTTTTGAGCAAACACAATATCGCATTGCTTCGACAACCTCCATACAGTCCCGAAATAGCCCCTTGTGACTTTTGGCTGTTTCCAAAACTAAAAAAACCACTCAAAGGACACCGTTTCGATGACAAAACAACGGTTTAAAACAATGCGACGAGTGTACTTAAGACTATCCCTAAAACTGAGTTCTAGGATTGTTTTGAAAAGTGGAAACATCGATGGAACCGTGTTATTGAATCAAGTGGGGATTACTTTGAAGTATGCCACCCACCAGATGATAAAGAATAACGCTAGCACGAAAATATAAAGGTTGGCCGATACTTTCCAGACAGACCTCGTACAATGTCAAAAATTCGATTATAAAACTTAAATAAACAATTTTATGGAGTCGTGAAGTCATTATTTTGGAAGCTCTTGGAAAGAGCTTTCAAAAAAGTTCTCGCTTATCTCTGAACGTTATTTCATACCAGAGATAAAAAACTGCAAATTTGACTGCTTTTGCCTATGGGAGGGAGAGAGAGGATAAAGTACGTGACCGGCAATACAAATGTCTGAACTTCAAAAAGATATAGTTTCGAAATCAATTTTCCAAAATGGCGCCCGAATTACAAAATTTTTACAAATATATTCATGAATTTTTTTCGTCAGAAATATTAACAAACCGAGTAAATCACTAAAAATAAAAAGTTCTTACAATCACTCAAAGGATATGTTTAGATAGAAGAATAAGTTTTGATTTTGGAACTAGCGTAACTTTTCTAAAACGGAAAATCGCTTAATACACCTCAAAATAAATCATATGTATTTTTTGACCAATTTGAAGAACTTATTTTTGAATTGACGTTTGGCGAAAGGAGAAATAATGGATGTTTAGGTGCGTAGGGTGAAATAAATAATTATATCACACTGGTAATAGATAAATATTACTGTAATGTTGAGTTGAAATGGTTGTGCTATGCGCAGACGAGCACTACAGAGTATCGCGAGTGATGCGCGCGCGTACAAAAAGGAGTGTAGCGAGACGAGGAGTTGGCGATGTTCACTCAACAAGACGTTGCGTCTTTCTGGTCATTCGCGGGGGTGCAAGGATGCACCACCGAGCCAGGCTTTTACTTCTCACTTTCTCCGAGAACACTCATTGCTTTTGCTCGTCGGAGAGGCAAAAGAAAAAAGCGGAAACATGATGGAAAAAGGGCCTGCTACAAAAAAGGCCCAGCCGAAAAGGTTCGGCTGTCGTGTATTGCTCTACGTGCTCAATGAGCTGATCGCTTGTCGGACACCATAAAAAATAAATCGTAAATCAACTTCTCAGTTGATTTACGATTTATCGGAAAAACTAAGAGAGAGGTTGAGGAACATATGGGGTGCAGATTTTGGAAAAGTCTGCGACCCCACATTATTATTCTACGTAATTTTGGTTATAAGTCTTTTGCTTTCAAGAAAAAAATTCTCAAAGATCAAAATAGTATCAGTCGTGACTTAAGTTAACTTAGCTCGCTCCAGAGTGACAGAGAAAGAGACAAAGAGGGAGCATAGTTTTGGGACGTTAATTGAGCGAATTAATCAGCAGTATTGATAGATCGGTCTTTTTTTTTGGAAAGACGAGTTACCACAGGTAACGACGAAATTTATCCGGTTAAATTTATCCAGTTAATTCTCCCCAAAATTTTCTGTTACAAGTTATCACATTTTCTCCGAACCGAGTAAACGCGACGGATATGAGTTAAAGCGAAAAATGTAATCGAGTGACTCTCATGTATCTTTCGATACTGACATACCTTTCGATACTTTTTATATCATAAGGCGTACAGAAAATTACTTACGATAGATTTCGTACGCTCCGGTCTTATACTTATTGGAGGTGGTGGTTCATCCTCTTGTTCAGAACTCGTTGCACAAGCATCTGTTGGTGTGCTACTAGGACTGCTGCTACTAATTCTGTAAATTATACAAAAAACTATTACACTTCACTAATCATAACTATTAGAAAAAGATAATTTAATAATTTGAAAAGCTTAAAAGACAGATTATATCCTAACAAAAATTATGTTCATTTTTTAATCTTTCTTTTCAGAGTGTCAAATGTGTGTGACTTAGTTCGCCGAATTACCACGAACTACCGTTCATCATGCGTCAAGAACAGACACCTATAGTAGACATATGTTCCTGACTCCGAGCACAGAGCAAGTTTGATCTCTTGATAACCTCCAATAGAAAGGACCAGATTGACCAAACCCGATGATATGGCGTTTCGCCCAATCATCTTATTTTGTTTATATATTCAGTAGTCGTCTAGTTTCACTCTAGATTTCGGATCTGTGAACTGTAGCTGCTCCTTATTTGAAGAGTAAAGTCATAAGAGAGACTGGTGAGCATGTGTCTTTGCTGGCGGTCGATAACGATAACTCGAACCTCGGTTTCAACGTAGACTCATAGACGCGTTTTTCTATTTACTTCCGTTATTATTACTATTGTAACAGACAAGCTTGTTCTGTCTTAGTTTTAGAAGCGCAGCCGAGACCTCTACCGCCGAACAATCTCCAACCTATATCTATCATATCTCTTGTACAAATTGTTTGAAAATATAGATATTGAACTTTTTTTTCTTCTATTTATGTACGTAACCCGAATCCTACAGGAAGGTAGATGACAGTCCAGCACCGCACGGCTATGGAAATTACTCCACACGTAGGATACGCTGCATTAGCTGCCACCTTTAATGCCTCTAATCACTCAAAGAATAATACCTCTAATCACTCAAAGAATAATACCTCTAATCACTCAAACAAAATACCTGTAACGTTATAAGAGATACTAGAAAGATTGTAAAATGTTGTGATTCTAATTAAATAGTTTTAAGATAAAGGGCTGAGTACTTGAACCAGTCCAAAAATGATGATCTTGTAAACATTTTAAGACTGAACTCAATTTCAAATAATAGTAATTTGTACAGAATTGAAACCTGAAACTTTTTTATTGAAAACTAGTAGAGCTATTTCATTCTCAAGATAGACTGACTATCTTAAAATTTTTCAATTGCAACTTAATGTTGGCAGCACTTATCTACAATCTATCTAAATATGTTGGAATATATGTTTTTGCATGCTTTAAGAGATCATAACCAAAATTTCAGCTATTCTGAATCGTAAATTTCTATTTCACAGTTCAGAAAGAGAAAAATTTTTCTAAAACTAAAAAAAAAGTACACACATACTTATTGTTGTTTATTTAAGTATATTGAACCTCTAACTAAGTTATTGTTCTAGAAAATTTTAAACAAAGAAAAAATCTTATTATTACAGAAAGCATTAAACTAGATGACTAAATTATTAGATTACAGTTATTAACGAACTTACAAATGGTTAGAGCGATATTACCATCAAAATGACATAGTAGGACAGTACCTATGGAAGGAAGATATATCTTTGAGCATTTAAGTTCGTTAATTAAGTTTAATCTATATTTACTAAATAGTAGTAGTAGTAATAGTTTTTTTTGGAAGGGAGGGGGGGCAAGAGGAGAAATGCATTGACGCACAAAGACAGGACGGCCGACCGTGCTAGACTCGCGATGATAATAATCCCGCCGCCGCACTACTAACTAAAACTCCCCTCGTTGCTCATGGTTATATCCACCCCAAAACCGCGTTAGCATTACTTCAGGGTTAAGCCACTTTTAGGTCTTTGCTAGGGACCTACACTTTTTTGCATGCCTCCGCTCGCTCTTTGTGTCGACTTTTCACGGTGGCAAAAGTAGCTCTCGAGCTCTCCTTGTCCTATCCCATTGTAGCCAAGCATCGATTTTCCCCTGCAGCATCAGTGCGTTTTTCGCTGCCACACTCTTTGACTCCATCCCTTATTGCGACGTCTCCCCAATTGTCGCGTCCCCGCAGCCTCCCAGTCCGAACCTTGGAACTAGGTCACGGAACCAGTTCTGGGCGGCGTGGAGTTATGCGTGGCGTTTCGCTCCTTTCGCGCCTCACTGCTCAAGGTATTTTGTTCTAAGAATGTCCCTGGTGAATGTTTCAATCGTCGTTCACTGTTCCCGACCTTGAACATTACCGAGACCAGATTCTCCAGCGAGATCGACTCACCAAGGACACTCTCCACCGCGTGTTTGTGCGCAGCCAAGCGGGTGCACTCAAAAAACTTGTGTTCAGTACAGCAGCACTGGCACGGCGAGGATGCCATTCTACCCATGCGGTAAAATACCCCGCGAATACGCCGTTACCGGTAAAAAGTTGCATCAGGTAACATGACATCTGCCCATACTGTTGCTCGAGCCAGGGCTGGATCCTGGGGATTAAACGGTGAGTTCACCGCCCTGTATCCCGGCGATCTCACTTGTCCTGCCAGCTCAGCAGGGTCTCAGTTTTATTCTGCGTTTCCTTCTGTTCGCCCTCTTGGCGACGATCAAGAAACCGCTGCTGCCTCTCGCAAGCGAGCCGTACAATGGGGATAATCTTCGCGATAACCATCACCGTAACGGCCGAGACCGTGCGGTACGGCATTGCAACCCGTAGAGCACCGACACACTGCACCAAGGTGAGGCGTCCCCTGTTGACCTTAGTGCCCAGGGTTCCCACCCATATTTTTTCACAGTATAGGATGATCGATTTGGCGACTCCAGCCAGCAGTTTTCTTTTATCTTTCCTCAGCCAGGCTATGTTCGGCATCATCCGATTCAGCTCCGCAAGGAGCTTTGACGCCTTCTCTTGCGGAGATGCTCGTTAAAGCCGAGCCAAGAGTGGATCATGACGCCGAGGTACTTGATGCATTTGAGCTAGTCACTGCAGATCCGACCTGTGCAAGGTCTCTCCGTCTCGCGAAAACGCAAGACACGAGATAAATCTCGATTGTTTTCGGTCAGGTTAGTTGGGCAATATGCGTTTGCGCTAATCTTCGCGACTAATAGTAACACCATTACATTGGTGCCCTAACGTTTTGGACAGATTTAATTAAATAAAATTACAGGAGTATTAAAAGTGAATAATGAATTGGTTCATCTGAAAATAGTCAAAAAATACTCGTACATATACCATCTATATGGTGATACAGAGACAAAAGCCTCGAGTTGACCGAGCGTGCGTTTGTTTACGTTTAGCTAACGGTTGAGCGCTATAATATTTCTGTGATACAGTATATAGAGAGTTGTTAGATTTGATAAAGTAGAAAATACTATTACAATTGAAGAATTAGGTAGTTTGAGATATTCTACAGTGAAAATAACTTGATTGAATAATTTTTTTGCAGTGTGGGAGTGTATGCTTATTCGAGAGGGACGGAACGTATCTCGCGAGTTATTTGCATAATTTTTATTTAATAGTTCGAGAATCGTTTTCATGTCAGTTCCTATTCTCTTACTGTTATTGCATTGATGTCTTCTCCTATGATTAGTGCTTTCTCCTTATTTTCCTCTATCTCGTTGCTAAGGTTTATATAGTTTTGCTTCTTTTTATGCTGCATGTTAACGCTACTATATATTTTTTCTTATATTTTTATCTCATCTATTATGTCTTCTTCCCTTTCTTTTCATTTTTTCCAATTCAATACTTATTTTGATCTTCTTTTTCACTGATATTAAGTCTCCTTCTCTCTTTCTCTCTCTTCCTCTCTCTTTTCGAGTCTCTCCCGGATAGTTCACAGTAGCACAAATGCGAGTTATTTTGTAGAGTCAGATATTGTATACCGGGATGAGTAATCACGATATCTGAAATATTAAAGAGCGACACCGAAAATGTGATCGAGATTCTTCGATTTTGTATTTGTGATACCTAATGGTCTTTGGATTTCTTGTATTTTGAGTACTTAGTTCGATAGCGCGACTCTTGGTTTTCAGGGATTGTTTGAGAGATATAAAGCGTTGAACTACACATGAGCGGCTTATGTATACAACGCAAACGACGCAAAAGAGTTAGTTTTTTTTAATTACAAGCGCATTCGAATTTATACGTACAGATTTACTCGATTGGTAAATAGATGGCGTAGACGCAACAAACTTTTCCGAATCCGTAGAATCCAATGCCGCCCTGGAGACAGTATAGAGAATGGCTGCTAAGCTGTATTAACCGTCTATACAGTCGAAATGAATCATCTTTACTGGAATTCGGTAGCTACGCATATGAGGCATAATTTGGCCATCCGGCTAGCACAGTAGTGAAACAATATGATAATAGAGTTATTAGCAATATAGCTCAGTGCGCAATTAGTTTCATCGTATGCTACGCATTTACTTCTTAAGTACATTTGACTTCAAACGTCATCGCCATGTATGTAAAATATTTTTAGTGTGAAGGACCAGCCAATTTGGAAATACGGCATGAAGAATATGTTTTCAGCGTAATATAGTATAAAATCGGAGGCAAAGAGTATATCATATTCACACTTGTCTCGCCTAAAACATATAAATGTTTAATGTTGCACTGCATATATTTAGTATAGTTATCGTGAGTAAATAATTTTCCAGTATACGTAAATATACATATGAGGGTGGTGCGATAAGTACTTAGCCTACAAAAGAAAAACGAAAATTTTGGAAAAGTGGCGATTTATTTTTCAACATAGTCTCCTTTTAGTTCGATACACTTGGTCCAGCGATGCTCCAAATTCTATAACCCGTCTGAAAAATACGTTTCCTCGAGGTCTGAAAAGTAGGCTTCCGTGGCATCGATTACCTCCTCATTCGACTCAAATTTCTGCCCGGCGAGTGACTTTTTCAAGTTTGGGAACAAAAAGAAGTCGCACGGGGCTAAATCTGGAGAATACGGTGGATGGGGCAGCAGTTCGTAGCCTAATTCGACCAATGTGGCCATGGCGACGGCGGAGGTGTGAGCCGGTACGTTGTCATGGTGGAAGAGCACTTTTTTCTTCGCCAAATGGGGCCGTTTTTTCTGCAATTCGACGTCGAATCGGCCCAATATTTCGGCATAGTACAGCCCT